TTCTTTTTTTCAACTGTAATCTGTGTATGATCTTCTTTGTTGTTAGTTTGGCTTTTTTCACTTGCTTGTTAGCTTTTCCTTCCCCCTAAGAGAGGGGGGTATTTCTTTTCACTTTCCAGGTAATTCTTTCAACTTTTATCCTGACCAGGGATTCCCATGTCTCACTGTTCCTTATCAATTTGTTGATCCAATAGCTAAAAAGTGTTTGTACCAAATCCAAATATAATCTCTTTCAACCTGGATTCCTTAAAGGATGTTTCCCCTGGGTTCTCTCCAAAAATGTTCTCTGTTATTACTGGTCTTCCAGGAGCTTCATATTGTATTTTGTACAGTGTTATTCAGATTCTTTCCACATTTAATTTTCCAACCAAACACTGTGCAAGCAAGAGGCTTCACTGAAGAGCCCCTGAGACCCTGTAGAGGAAATTGGATATGTGTATTAAGCTATTACATTAGTAGATTATGATAATTTCCCTCCTCCACTTAGATATCTTTAATCAAATTAACTGTCAAATACTACTACTACTACTATTACTACTACTAGTACTGCTACAAATTTATTGCTGCTTGTTGCCGTAGGGCAATCAAAATATATCCATGAGGGCTGAGGCTGTCTGTTGTTCAAGAGTGATTGTATTTCTTTTGAGTTATTTCAGTGGAAGTGGCATCAGCAGCTCGTCTCCTATTCATTTCTCTCCTGTATTTTATGCAGTGGAGATATTATTTTCCCTAAAGCATCTCTGAAACATAAGTGGCAAAAATATGTATGAGAGTTTTGATCATTATTATGCAGCCACTCTGAATAATTCATTCTATTATTTAATTTTAGCTGGAATAGAAGTAGCAAATCAGCATGTATTGATATCTAAAAAATATTTTGCTGGAAACATTGTTTTAGGGGAAAGGCAGGAATCTCCCAAGCAGGATTAGCAAAATGGATTGGAACCTGAGGATGATAAATGTTTTTTTGTGTTACATAGTTTATGAGATACTAATCATACTTCTGTTTCAATGAAAATGCTATCCAATTAAGAAGTTGCTTGTGAGGAACAATCTAGCCCACTGTCAGGTGGCTGAATCTGGTGACAGTCTGCATTGGTTTTGGGGAGTATTGTTTAATGTGCTCTTCAACTTTATTAGTTCCAAGGGAAATGTCAAACCCATCTGTTGCCATTAATCCTCCCCTATTAATCTCCTGAATTATAAGAAGGAATAAAATATTAATAAAACAAAAATAAATTCAAGTTATCTTTGGTGCCTTAGCCTGTCTTGTAGGAACAGTACTGTCCTTGGACTGTTGTTTTTATAGCACTGACAATGCTTAGATACTGCAGGGCTGGGCACACTTAGTGATCACACTGAGATAATGGAATCAGTTGCTGAAGAACTGAACAGATTTATTTGCTTCAGTTCTGTTGGTCTATCTGCATATAAAACTATTTTTCTGCCCTCTGATATTTCTCCTCCATAGAGGTACTTATTAGAAAATTAGTCTAGAAATAGTGTTTAATTTTCTGATCCTCTAAGTAAACAGAGCAGAATGACCTTGCTTTCTTTCTGATAACCCTTCAGGAAGGCACCTGTTTTCCTACTGATTTTTTCTTCTACCTACATCATACCTAGTGGAGTTTGGATCTTTTTTACTTTCAGTAATTCCTTTGCTATGGATTCTGTTTTTTAGTTTCCAATATTTTTGTTATCCTTCTGTGACTAATTCTTCTAATCAGATCCAAGTTTTGCTCACTTAAGCAAGATTTCACAAAGAGAAAAAGGATCAGTGGCATCACATGAAAGGTGATAAATAATCCTCCAGTCTCCTACTATAACTGCCATCCTCTATTATTAGGACCATCTTTCAAAAACTTTGCTGAGAGCCTTTGAATTTCTATTTTGTCCACTTGCAAATATGATCTCTTTTTTCACCAAGTTCATACTATGTGGCTAGGAAACCAGCAAAGGAGGGGAGAGACTTCACTAACATAGTATATAACATTCTACAAGGATCCTGTGTGTAAATTAGCATTTCTGAAGTGCATCCCAGAAAGAAATCTGCTGGCTTTATAAAGAAATTTGGAGGAATGTCAGAGAAAAGATGAGAGGAGTTCCTCAGTGGGAGGTGGTTTGCATACTAATGCATCTTTCTCTTTGTTTGTAGTTTGTTTGTTTTGCTGTTTGTTTTATCATTTGCCATCTTCAGGAGGAATACTTCCACACAAGTTTTTAAGTTAGGCTAAGTGGCAGCAAGAGCTATGATTCCCAGATTTTTTATGCTACAGCCCTGTTTTCTAATGACAACTGAGCACTTGCAGCTTCCACGTAATGTACCTGCCCCGTGCCCCATATGACAGTGGTGCCTCTGCCAGCCCCTGCAGCTTTATAGTTGCATATGCAAATCTGTGACATAATTCTGTTTGGTCTCCATCAGTGAATCTGGTCTGTGATTTTGAACAAGTTACTGCACCGCTCTGTGGCTGTTTGTCCTGGCCATTGTCTGGTTTGTCTATTCATGTAAGGACAGACGTGTTCATGATAAGCTAAATGTCATCAGACTTGATCCAGAGGGGAACCATCATTATAGACATGGATCACAGTCACTGTGTTATGTTCATCACGTAGACTAATCATTTTTCTCACTCCCATTAAAATCTCTCTTACTTAAATGAATTGGCCTGCCTCATAGGAAAGAGCAGAGAAATTCCCTCAATATACCAAATTATTTGTCATTTTGTCTGGTACTGGAGTCGTGTATTTGCTTGACCAGACTCCTGAGGATGACTAGAGCACGTGCTGAAGTACATTGCTAGCTGAGCGTTATCATTGTCTCCTCATGCGAACTTCATTCTTCACATCAGGAGGTTTATTCATGCTTATCTTCAAAAGCTTTAATACAAAGGTAGGTTCAGCCTTTTTCAAATCTGGCAACTTGGCTGACCTTTCAGAGACCATTTATATGCATTCAATTAATGAAGTGATTCACTACACCAACAATCTGCTGAGTATAATGCTTCTAGGTTTTTCTTTGGACTCCAGATATGAGGATACGGAGAAGAGGTATTAAGATTAAGAACCTCAACAAAGCTGCCTCCCCTTTTTGACAGCCTTGTAGAGAATGTTTGTTTTGGGTTTGTGGCTTTCAGAGAAAAAAAAAAAAGATTAAGTTTGCTTCCACTGTATATAAAAATGGGAATTGCATGATTATTATTTTCTAGACACTGATTCTCCATTACTGTTTCAAATGGAGTCTTCTTGATGTGACCACACTAGGAGATGTGGACAGGAGGTTGTGGTGTGTGTTAGCCTCTGAGTTGTATTTTGCAGCAGTCTGGATGAGAACACAAGATACATTATAAGAGATAAGTTCCTGTCTAATGTGTTTTTTTGTTTGCTTTACCTCTGTAGACAGACACAGAAATGGAGTTCATGAAAACCAGACTTTTTGTTAGTTGCAAGGACCCGTAGGAATCTATGTCAATCTTTGTAAAGAAGTGCCATCTACAGCCTATCTTAGGCAAACTGTTTCCTGATAATTAAGGTTAGTAAATAAGTCTTTTATTTTCCTCTGAAATACACAGCAGGGAAGGTTGCAGCTAATGGGAATTTTGGATGCTCAGCAACTTCCAGGGTTAATTTTTTCTTTGTTGGATTTAAAGCTAACATTTCACAGTCCTGTAGGACAAACTGAAGAATGTGTTTTGGGAGAGATGCCTAAACTATCAGAGGACAGGACTGTTTTATAGGAGTATAGGTGCTGAAAAAATTGTGAGGTTTTTCTTTTATTCTTGGAGGTAATCATACTTTATTATAGCTTTTTAGACTTTGATGTTTTTTTTATTAGCCACAATTACCAAAGGGCAGTTTACCTAAGAAAAATTTGTTGCCAACGAACAGAGCGCCAGACCTCAATTTCAACTCCCGAGGAAATCACTGCTGTGCTTTCCATGTACTGTTCTTGTTCTGCTCAGTGTAACTTCAGGGTGACATTTTGCTCCCAAAAGGCAGCCTAGTCAGCTGTAAATGAATAATGATTCCCTGGTATCAAGCAGAGAACAGGACCTTCAGATATTCTCAGAGCCCAGACACGTGCCTGGCACCTGTGTCTCTCATTCTAAATATCCTGGATTTTTCTGAACCTCTTCTAGCTCTAGGATTGCAAGCATTGTTTGGGAAAGCTTCCTTATTAAGAGCTGTGAAGATCTGCCTATAATCAGTGTGTTCTGCATCTTTGTGACCAGTTATTTTGCTTAGATTTTTCTGAAGTCAGAGGAACAAATAAAGGGAGAGCAGACCCAAGCTCTGATGAACTTTGAACTTATTTGAATGTGAAGCTGATTAGCTACAATAGCAAGAACCAACACTACGGTATAAACACCCTGAAATTCAGCACAGGAAGCTCCTGCAGCTGAGTCTTGTGGTTCACATGCATCTTTACCTGTATCCATGTGAGAGATGTAAGCATCTGTCTCCTTCCCAAAAACACAGGGCTGTTTCTCCATTGAGTAATGCTGCTGAGTGGAGAGATGACACAGAGGCTGTCCTAGCTCCTGGACCCCTGGGTTTTCCCCAAGTGCCAGGTCACTCCTCACAGATAATTGCTTACCATCATCATCTAAAAGGACTACATCTTCCATGACTAGATTTACAGGTACAACCACTTAAAAAAAAAAAAAAGTATTCACACACAGTGAGGTAAATATGCGGGTTTATTGCAGCCAAGCCACTCCTTTCCGTGCTCATTCCTTCTCAGACATCTGCTCGGGGATGTTAAAACCCTGAGCACCTTTGGCAGGAGGACTGAACTCTGAAATCTGCAGCACCTGTAGCAGAGGAGCAATATTTGGGAAGGAATTGTTGCCCGAGGAAAAGCAGCAGCTTCAACTTGTGTCCCACAGGAGACAAGTGAATCTGGAGTTATATATTATATAAGACGTAGGGGATGACAGCAGTTTATCATTAACCTGAACTCTGCAAGAAGTATATAAGGAGATAAAGAAGAAGAAAGCCAGAGAAGCAGCCACGATGGAAACCATCATAAGGATCAACAATGCTGCGGACATCTCTGTTATTGTCATCTATTTTTTGGTGGTCCTGGCAGTGGGACTATGGGTAGGTTGGGATTTTATTTTATTACTTTTTTTTTTTTTTTTTACTTATGAGCAGGTAGTTTATAGGGTCCTGGGAAGATGGCTCAGTAAATGAAAATGTATAAGTGCATAAAGCTTTTCATACCTAATTGAGATAGTTAATAAGTGTATGGTGGGGAAAATGTGGGTGTTTACTGGAGAGGGGATGGTGACTGGAGGAGGCATCTGTTTAGGTGGATGAATGGAACGAAGCTGGGACGGTGGAGTAATGAGGTCTGAGTGGAGAAGGAGCTGAGTGATCTGATCAGTAAAGATCAGGCCAGTAGGGTCCCTGTTGGAAAGCAGGTGGAGGTGAAGAGTTGGGGTTCAGCACGGTGGAGCCTGGGGACTCCAGTGGGAATGGGTGGTGTGAGGTGGTGCCACAGCAGGAGTGAGAAGAAGGAGTTGTAGAGAGAAGCAGGGAGGTGAAGCCAATGTGCAGGGAGGGCAGCACGGAGGTGTAACAGCAAAACTGCAGCTGGGACTGTGTGACGGACCAGGGACTGCAGAGCACTCTCAGCAAAGGAGTGGGATGGGTCAAGATTGTAGGTGCTATTTGAGGATGGCGTTATCATGGCTTTTTTTGCCAGCAGCACCTTGACTACGGGGTGCAGTGCCATTGAAACTATGAGGAAGGAACAGTTTCAGGGGTGGCAATGACTTTCTGTTTGTGACCTAAGCCCAGCGGTGCCTCCTGCCCTCACCCTGGGGATGCTGAGTGTGCTGAGACTGCAAGGGAAAACTCAGTGCCGAATCTGAAAACAAAGCCAGTGCTTTCACAGCTGATGGAGAAAGGCAGATACTATCCTATTGGTGGAACCTCCGTGTGCTAATGTGTTTGAAGATAATAGGCCACTACTGTGAGCTACAAAGCTGCAGACAGTGGAATGTCACTAAATTTTGGTTTCCTTGGGGCAAACTCTCTGGTCACCTGAACACCTGACCATTAGCAAGTGGAGAGGAGGCATTGTCCCTCAGTAATGCTGTCCTTGCCAGGAGCATCCCAGGGGTCAGATGCAAAACAAATCTCCCTTTCTAGCAGCCTGGCAATGTTTTGAAGAGCACCAAAATTTTGGGGTGTACACAGAATGGACACAACCTTTTCTTTACCTCTTCATCATGGTTGTAGGTGCCAAAAGCATGGCCAAAAACCTGAAGCTCCCTCCCAGTATTCCTGAGCACCTTGCTGTCTCGCAGGCGGGAGCTGGGTCTTTGCCATGGAAGTCTGGCCGTTGCTGTAGTTGAACTTTGTATTAAAGGTCTGTGACAAAAAAGGGCTGATCTGTGGCTTGTCAGGCAATTGTGTACTGAGTAATTCCTGGAACAGTTTCTTTCCAGCAACAATGTCCTCTTTATTGAACAAATAATACTCAGTTGCTGTGTGTTGTTAAATGTAAATCTATTGTATTTACTTGCTTTCTTCTGCATCAGAAGAAAAGATCTGGCTAATTTTCCCAAGTTGTCTTTCTTTATTTGCCTGTTCAAAGTCCATCAGAGGAGACAATGGGAATCTAATATTTGGATCAGGGCCATTAACAAAAATTGGACGAAGCTTCCCTCTAAAGCCCATCCCTTGACAAATACAAAACAAGTGTGTGAAAAGGAAGTTTTAGTTGGCTGCTTTTTTCAAAATTCTGAGGGAAATGGGTACGCTGCTGATATCACAACAAGAAAATAGATTTTTGTAGATATCTGGTGGGGTTGGGTAGTATTGAATAAAAAAGCTGCACAGTTTCTGTTAATGAACTTGTAACTCATAGTCTTTTTGGATGCCTGAAATCAAAGGCATTGCAACCCTGGTGAGGTGTTCACATGAGCTTTTATTTGAATGATCATTTTTTGGGTTAAATTTAATTTTATTTTAATGTTTCACACCGTAATGAAAGGTGATGCAATAAAGCTTGAATGGTTACTGTAGACTGAATACAAGAATTATTACTCAGTTGTATTATTTTCTTCATCATAAGCTTGTTCTTTTTAGCCACGCTGTTTATTTCTTCCACTTTACTCCCCCCATCTGTTTTATCCCTCCATTCTAGCTGTTTGTTCTTAGTCTGTGCATAGCTTGCCTATTATACTTAAAATATGATTCAATCTTTCTGTCTGTTTTCCCCCAGGCTATGTACTCAACCAACCGGGGGACAGTAGGTGGATTCTTCCTGGCTGGGCGAAGCATGGTCTGGTGGCCGGTGAGTGCTATATATTGTGTGTTCATGCAAAATATACCTGGCTGTATGTGCACCCACTTCCATATGACTATTTCTAGTCCTTAAATGTTAAGTATCTCTACAATACTGCTGAGACAGTCATGGCTATGTCATCTAGATGCAATTCCAAGTCCTTCTCTAGCCATGGTGATACTGGGCAAACTGCACAACAAAAAACACCTGATGGGCAGGGAAAAGTGTTGGGGAAGTTGTCCTTGTTGAGCTCTGAGCTCTCTTGATTATGTGACCAGCTTGTTTGTAGGTACATTGATAATGTCACTGTAGACAAATCCAGTGCTTTGCCTTTCAGCCCACTTTAAAACTTTTTATTATTTTTAATTTGTTACTTTCACATTTCTCAAAGAAGCTGGCTCATTTTAAGGTTATCACAGAGAAGAATTAGCTGAAATTTTACCTTGCATTGCTCTATTGTTTCCACTTTTTGGTAAGAAGTTCTGGTCTGTACAAGGAGAAAATCCTGGAAATATTATGATAAGTTATTGGTAAAAAAACAGTTTAAATTTATGTTCTGGTCTGTACAAGGAGAAAATCCTGGAAATATTATGATAAGTTACTGGTAAAACAGTTTAAATTTACTTCAAGATTATCTGTGACATATTGCTTGTCTTCTGTGGTACTGTATTCTCTTCCAAGGTGGAAAAAAGGCATCACATACACAAAATGTGTTTACAGCCATCTAGCAGGCCTCTGGCAGAAATAATAGTAGAAACAATTATCTATTTCTTCTATACTATACAGTCTGTTTAATGTGACCTCTTGGAAAAGCAGAAAACTTAGACAAACCTGCATTTTCTGTATGACTTGTATTGTACTTCATGTGCTTGAATGAAAATCCTCAACATTCCTGACCTTGCATGCAGTCTCCAAAAATGTTTTTGCACTTCATTAAGACTTTTGATTCAAGACTTTGATTCAAGATTTCACCCAGATGGATTCAGTTACAGAATCAGGGAGACTAAGAGTAAATTTTTGTTGTCTAAACATTTAGGATTTTTCTTGAAATAGTCTGCAGAAATACTTACGCATCTCTCAGTTGGTTTGTGCTTCAGGGAGCTGCTGTCTGCCTTTAGAAGGGATTTGGACTGCCCCTTTAATGATACAAAAAGATTAAAGGCTAGTGACAGTAAAAGTTTTCCTCATTTTGTGTGGTAGTTCTAAGAAAATTCAGGTTCCACTAGAAGATTGAGGAAAGAGAAAGTTTCCAAGTTATTTTAAGATAAATCCCATAATTCTAGGCAGAGAGAAAAAACCCAAACAGATTACTCTGCTTAACTGTCACTTTAATCAGTGGGCTGGGCCTTGTGCAATTCTCTGGGCCTGTCAAGGGTGAATTCGCCCTTTTGTGCAGATGTAAATGAAGCTGGAAGAAGCAAGGCAGGAGAGACTCACTCACCATATAAAACTGCTGTCTTGCTGCAGTGGCACTGGGAACTCCTAATGACTCCCCTAAGACCTGGGGAAGATTATCTCACAGTGAGTTCTCTGCCAACACAAACCCAACAGATTCAGCAGGCTCCCTTCCTCCGGTGGGAAGATAAGAGGGATGACCCCACGGTGCAGTGGTTGGTGCTAAGATCATCTCTTTCTCCTTCCCAAACTCTGCGAGCTCAGCATGGATGAAGTCATCAGTGGGGTCCCACACCACCCCTTCAGTCCTTCCCTTTGGAATGCCAGGAGTGTCTTTCTGCACCATAAAAGTAAACCCTTCTTGCTATTCTTCCTGGTATCACTGAAAACAAACAAATGGCAAGCACTCAAACCACAAACTAAATACCATGTCAGCAGCACCACCTCGGAAAGTTTGCCTTGGATAAAAAGAGATTCCAAAACACCTATTCCCACTTCTTAGCAGGTAGATAGGATGCCCATCACTCAGTGCAAACTGTGCTGGAATGAGTAGGAAACCAATGAAAGTATAGAAAGTTCAGTCAAAGATGTGATCTCAGTTCTGTAACAGCTAATGCTGGGTGTATTTTTTTACTTCTTCTGTGTTTTGACTTTTTGTGTGCCGCATCAGGCCCATGTCATGGTTCTGGAATGCCCAGATAGATTTCCAAATGTGGTAGATAAGAGGCAGGGTGGGGGAAGTTGTTTTGTAAGTGGACTCTTATTGATCAGGTTTCTTCCCTGCCATTTCAGGATAATGAGTCTTACCATGTAATAGCTTTCTGGAACAGAGAAAAATGAAAAAAAAAAAATAAAATCCTTCCACAAACTTGTTATAAAATTAATTCTCTTAATCTAATTGTGTTTTTCAGTGGTTGTGCTATGTTCTGTGCTCTACAGGGCAGCCATAAGTGGCTTTCTTGACCCCACAGGAAAGAGGCACATTAGCAGTGTGTTAGGATCTCTTACTGACAAGCCTGGGAAAGGGATTCTGTTCACTTAAATGATATAATAGCTGTGGTTTTATAGACTAGAGGAGCCTCTGGCAATCAGGTTAGTCCACTTTTGATACGGATTTCACATGTTTGTCAGTCACTTTGCCTGATTGTGATCCAGTTTCTCAATGTATAAAGTAGGAGCAAGACAGTTATGCTGGGCCAAATCTGCCCAACTTTGGCTCTGATTGTTGGCTCCAGCAGAATCCATGGAGGTTGCTTAGTGTTTTGCAGAACCAACTCAGTCTTTTCTGCTGTTCTGCAGAGGTAATAAGTCACTTCTGTGTTTATTCACTGAAATCATTGTCCTGGTGCAGTGGATGAGCCAATTCAGTAGTTCCAATAGTTAATTAGGGATCAAGGTATATAATTATATTCTCACTGATTGCCATAAATTGAAATCCATCGTGGGTTAATCCTAATGGTATGAAATGCTTTGCCCTTTCCACAGTCTTTTTACAGAAACCAAGAGAAGAATCTTCAAGAAACTGGTTTTGGTCTCTTGGGCTTTGAGGGAAATGTCTTCAGGAAAGACACATATGGCTCTTTAAATACTCATAACCCACTCTGTAGTGTTGCAGACAGAGCTGTCTGCACAAAATTATGGGTTACCTTACATACCTCAGTTCCTGAGGCATAAATGCTAATGGGACAAAGAGTATCTGCTAGGATCTGAAGTCCAACTATGGTTAGAAATCTTTACTGAGGCAGGAAGTATGTAGAGTCAAGGACATACTATACTTGAAACAGAAATGGAACTCAACTCGTTTGTTGTCACTTACGTGTTGATCTTTGTAAGCCAGGTAAGAATTAAGGAAAACAAACCACCCAGAATTTTGCTTGAGTTCTGTGTGGGTTGTTTCCATGGCCGTCAGAACTGACCACTGGCACAATTTCCCTGATCTCTGCCTCCAGTTAAGTTTTACATATTCTCAGAATTCTCCCTGCTTGCTGAATCTGACACTGCTGTGAGGAGCCAGGAAAAACAACTCTGGTATGAATAAGATTTGTATTTCCTTTTCTTAAGTAAAGTGGAATAAGAAATTAACTTATTTTGTCAAGTTCCACGCAAAAAAAAAGTCTGAAAACTACTGTTTTCAGACTAAAAAGAAAAATAAAGTAATCTGGTAAAAAAGGAAAAGTTCAGTGAAACAGATTTCTACAGAATCTGTTGGAATTCCCCAGGAGGAAAACACTACCAGGGAGGTGGTGTTTCTGTCTCAGAGGACAAAGGTAGAAAGGTGTCGGATCAGCCGGCTTGCGACTGTGCTGTTCCAACAGCCATCGGGCTTGTTGGAAGATAGAGCCATGTTTGAGGTGTATTAGATATCTGTCTCTCTTGCTTAGTGAATTGGGAAGTTTATAAATGTAGTTTAATTTATCAGTAATGCAAGACAGAATTTGTAGAGTAATTGGGAAAGCAGAACAAAAACCTACACAAGAAGTGTTTCAGATCCTTGAAAGGGTGGCAGCAATACCTCATTGTAAGCAGGGTACTGATTTTCCCAAAGTGATCAAGGGCGATCCCAAAAAGTTCAGGTAGGAAAAATGATGTCCTTCCATCAGGGTAAATCACATATTACAAGGAAGAGGTGTGGGTTGAAGAAAAGCATGGATGGTGCCAAGGAGTAGCTCTCCAACAAGGGAATGAGAAATCTGTCCAGGGAAGAGAGGTTTGAGAAGCAGCTTCTGGAGGTGACCCACGGAGGAGCGATGCCTCAGGGCAGGGCTCGTGGCCTCATGCTGGTCTGAGGGAGCCTCTGCTGCTCACTGTAGAGGTGCTGAAGGCCACAGGCAAGGTGTGCTTGGGGTTGGGGAGCAGAGCTGATAATGAGCTAACACTTTCAAACAGGAAAGCGGGCAGGAGGAGCATAGGATACGTGCTAGCAGGTCTGGGGGGGAGAAAAGCCATGAGTGGTAGAGTCTGCACGGTGTCACTGCAGTGGGCACTGATTTGCAGAGTACATCGTGTAGGATTTGGAACCACAAGCACCAGGATGTCAGTGCATCCTCAAGTTAATGAAAAGAGCAAGGTGAAACGGTTAATGAATAACATGGAAAAAACATAGTGATCATCATGTCTCTGCAATGTGGTGGTACTTTTCCTGAACAGAGTACTCTTGTTAAAACCTGACCTCTTAAAAGACTTTAAAAGAGTTAATGTTCCACGTTTGCCTCAGGTTAGTTTAGTTTTTTGTCCCCTCTTTCCCTCTTAACAGCTTTTGTTCCTTTCAATCAACTTTCTTCTTTACTTTTCCTCCTAGATTTCTTTTTAAAATCAATTCACTAACATGTTCACTGAGAACAGTTCTAGAAAACTGTTTCCCTCTGTTCAGCCCAGCATTCTTTAGGTAATGCGGCATCTCCCAGTGGCAAATCAAGCAATCCCAGTAATCAGGTTTTTCTCTACAAAAATTCTGCACCAGTAAGTTCTTCACAGGACAGTGTGGGTCCAGAGCCCATCTGCCTTCTTCCTTCATCCCTAAAGTGCTGCTGAGCCAGACTGGAGACTTCTCTTTCCCCTCTGGCACCAGCAGGTGACAGGACAAAAGCATATTTGATCAATACTCCTCTTGTTTTAACTACGCTGCAGTTTTAAGGATAATATGTATTTTTCCACCTAGGAAGCTATGTTCTACCTTTCCATGTATACATAATAATTAAAACAATTTTTTAAATTGCATCCATTATTCGTATGTGTTGATCTCAGGGTTCTGCTGCACTGGGTATTCCCTAATTCAGAGAAGAAAATTTAGAAAGTGAAAGTGGTGCCTGCCTTCACATTGTTTTGTCCTTGCGCTGGCCCTAAACGCGTTGGTAATTTAGCATTGGTTTTGTTTGGGCGAGCATTTTTCTTTCACTACAATAGTTCTGTGAGTAGAGCTGGGAACCCAGCGTTGTCAGAGAGTGCTGCAACATCTCCAGGGGTTTGGGGCACGGAGCCAAAGCTCACTGCGACCGTGTCAGTTCTTCAAGGTCTTCATTAGCTGGTCTCCTTACTTGGATCCACTTGCAGTACATTTCGAGCTTTTGAAACAGGAGAGGGAACATATTAAATAAAATCAGAGATTAATGTGGTTAATTTTTTCTGGTGATTGCATTTCTAGTAACCTAGATTTAAGTTTAATTATTCATCTCCAACAACAGTGCTAATGCTTGGCATAAATGGTATTTGTTTCTTCACACTCATTGCCGGGAAACACTGTTGCTGTCACAAAGAGGTTAGAAGAAAAAATTTTCTTTATTACCAGTGATCTCTCTGGCTTATTTGCTAATGCTTGTTGCAACACTTCCCATTCCTGTAGAAATATCTGTCGTCTGACAAACTGGTTACATTTCTGTAGGGCATAACTGACTTCTAGAAATAGGTAAAAAAAATAAACTAAAATCCACAACTGAGTGAGCTTAGAGACATCAATTTCCTGACACAGCAAAAGAGAAGAAATCAGGGAGGATTCCCTCAGGAGCAATGAGGGAAAGAGAAAAAAGTAAGTTTGGAAAAGAAAGAGCTGCATATAAGAAACGGGAGATGAAAATTATTTTGTGATTAGAGGTCAGGATTCTGAATTGAAGAGCGTGGTTGCTATTCCTGGCTATGGCACAGCTCTGTAGAATCAATCTGACCTTCAGAGGTGGATTTCTATGAGGAAATCCCTTTTATCCTCCCGAATCTCAGGCAGTCATCCCTGTGCTCTCAGAAAGATTGACTTGATTTTTAGTGCTACTCAAAAAACTCACTGCAGTGACTGCAGACCTGGAAATTTGTAATTATTCCCTTCATATACGTTTTAGGACTCTATAAATCTCCCAGTGACCTGCAGACAGGAAATATTTCTTCCTTTTGAAAGGGACATATTCCAAACATCTGTACTTGGGAACTACGTAAGGGGAATGTGCTGGATGCAGGTCCTGCATTCATATGTCTAAACCACCATTTTTAAGCACCATTTAAAATGATCTTTCAGCATGGGAGGTATACCTCAAATGAGAGCATTAAAAGCTGGTCAGTAGAGGTTCTTTTGCCTACTTTCTATATACTTTTATTTTTAACCCTGTTTCCTTTTTTTTTTTTTTTTTCCCCTTTGTAGCTCTCAGAGAACATAAATTAAAAATAGAAATGTTCACTCTACTTTTCATCTCGGAGCTACTCCAGCTCACATCTCTTCTGCCTACAACCCCAATCCAACCTCTTCTTCACGCTCAAGTTCTCATCCTGCATCCTTCAATGTCTGACCTTGTAAATTATTTTTAGGCATTTCTGCTGCCTTTAATGGTTTCATTTTGAGGAAATTAAGTCCATAACTTTTCTCTCCATCTTTTTCTATTGTCTGAGCTATTTGATAAAGAATTAGATCTTTTGGCACACTCTATCTTTTGTGAACAGCTCCTGCTTGTCTGTAATCCAACAAAAACCTTTTGGTTTTTCAGTCTCTCCCTGTTCACTAATTCCTATGTTCTACCCACCATTGTTTGTATGATCAGTGAAATATTAGGGGATCTTAGACATCCAGCACTTCTTAAATGCAGCTCCTTGATTTGCTGTTGTTTGCATCTTCCAGAAGCACTTTCTCAGCAGGTATTTCTGCTGTGCAGCTTTCAGAATTCAATTCAGTAATCGAGTATCTTTTAACTGAAAGTGAACCAAGTACAAAGTCTGTACAACTCTCATCGATGACACATAGATGAGTCCCATAGACTATGGAATATGGAATAGGGAGTGCCAGCTTGACAAGTGGGTATGCACTTATCGTTTCCTCCTTGAGCAAGGCAGATTGCAGTCGTCTTCCCTTAGTGTTTGGATATCACCCAAATGTCAGTTAGGCAAGTTTTGCAAATATTTTAAAATCTGTATTAGTGTAATAAACTGACTGAGCTGGAAGAAGATCTTCTATGCAACATCCTGTTCTTTCTCATTGTTGTAGACACGATGGCTGGAGTCTCCAGTATTCTCCAGGGGAGCAATAAAAGGGAGTCTTAAAAGTTGTTAAGGAAGTTGGCTGTCAATCGTTGTCATCATCATCCTCTGATGATAGACAGGCATGAGTTCAAAATAGCAAATGAATATGACATTTTTTCAAGTTACTGTGAACAGGATCTAAGAGACAAATATTGTTCTTTCTTTTTCCAGATTGGTGCTTCTCTGTTTGCCAGTAACATTGGCAGTGGGCACTTTGTGGGAATAGCAGGAACAGCAGCAGCTGGAGGAATTGCCATCGGAGGATATGAATGGAACGTAAGTGGCATGCATTTAAGTGATCATGTTTGTGACATCAGGATTGTCTGCAGATGTTAATCAAAATAACATTGCCTAATAATTTAAGACGGTCAAAGTTTGTGCTTGGCAACACTAATTTGGCACTTACTGGTCTGTACAGAAATGTAATCCACTATTTAGCTCATCCTCCTTGGTCCTTGTCCAAGCTGCTGGGAGAAGATGACCCTTTTCTGTTGAATGAGGTTTTTAGAGAGCATTTGAAATCGGTGGATTCTGTTCTCTATACGTATCTTCTGATTACTTTAAAAGTATTTATAAAGAACACTTTCAGACTGCAGAATGTTGGGAAGAATTTATCAGTTTTGTAATCCATAGTATTTTTTTACAGCATTTTTACAGCATTACATGCAGGAATTGTTGAAGGGGCTTTGATGTCTTCACAGCCTATAAGAAATTTTGGATGTTTTTCACAACTACCTGCATTTCCCTCTTTACTTTCTCCTTCCTCTAATTTTATGTATGGTTTGTTTATGGTTATAGTACAGGGTAGAGGTATCCAAGCTGACTTTAAATGGACTTCTTGGAGTACCAGGAGTAGTGTTGACTGCAACAGCACAGAGATTTGCATGAACTAATGCAGTCCATTTCCTTGTGTTCTCAGGATCTGTAGGTGTGGATGTCCTAGCTTGGCTTAATTCACCTTCATGGAAGGGATTATACCATGACACAAAGGACTTAATGAGTGTACAGTGACACACAGACTTAATGAGTGACTTAATGGGTTGATACTTTCCTTGCATTTAATTCTGTACAGTGAAAGAGGGATACCACCCTGAGGGACTTAGATTTTTTTCCTTAGCAAGTAGATGATTGTTGCAAATGGCCAAGTATTCATATGATGTAAATATTAAAGAGGAAGGATAAAGGCTAAAATGAACTCAATGGGATGTGCAAAGTTAATCTGTCATCTTTCTCTATTTGATTACACTGGTCCTGTAACTAATCTGATTCCCCTTCTCTTTGTACCAAAACTAAGCAAAACAAAACAGAACAAGCATTGCTTGAAATTTCATGGTGTTCAAATCTCTAGAACCCATACCCTTCTTCAAACAGTTCGTCTGGTCATATGGTTCTCTGTGGACTAATATCAATACACAGTGTGCAACAGCTGCTGCTTAGGAAGAAGCAACGATGCACGTGTGTATTTAAGCAGATACACTACATAGTTCATTACTTACGACACGGTGGGACTGGTGTACAGGTTAATAGACATGCAGAAATATTGCTCTTTACTGTATAATCTGATTCTCTTTTTGAAGTTTGACTCTTACTGTGCTTGTGTATCTCTATTATTCCACTGAAATTGTTTCTCATTGGTATTACTATGACAGCAGAAGCTGACCCAGTATTTCTTGTCCATCTTATGGTTTTTATATAAGGACTTAAAAAATACAGAAGAAAGCTTAAAAGATACAGTTAAGAAACCCCTCTAAGCCCTGTGGACAGAATAAAAGCAGAGTGTGGCTCTGAGAGGAGGATTTTGTTCTATATTTCTCAATTTAAATATGTATAACTCTATATCACGCAGCATTTAGTAGCCATTTAAGTCAGAAAACTGCAACACTGCAAGATAGTGACATCTATAGTTCACAAAATGCACATGGTAACACAAAATACATTATGAAATGGTAATGTGGAAATACAAAATCTTTTGCTAAATGCATGTGGTACATCCTGTACCGTATGTGGAATTGCTGTAAAACATGTGGACATCATGCAGAGACCCAGCACAGAGCACAGTTAATGATCCCAAATAATAATCAAAAGAAGGTGCTACTCTTCCCAGTACCTTGATTTGCAGATGTCACGACATACCTGCTTCTGAGCTGGAAATATCCTGCATTATATCCCATCGCGCTCTGGGATCAGGATGCTGGTGAACAGGTCTCAGGTAGCAGACTTCACCTTCTGTAATGTTTCCCAAAAATGGTTGCGTTTTAACCATTCTCTGGGACATCTAGCATGAAATCCAGGCTGCATAATACCTGACAATTTTTTTTGCCAAAATTTCATTCCCAAATTTACAACTGTAAATCAAAGGACTGAGCAGTTCCTCCTCCTGCCCCCTCACAATACCCAGATTTATGTGGTTTCAATGGTCTCTAGATGCTATTGGGTCTGATAAATGGTCTTTGGGAGTGTTATCAAGAGAGAGGGGGCTAATTCAGCTGATCTTGTCTTGGCTGCAGGCTCTGATATTTGTGGTTATTCTAGGATGGCTGTTTGTACCCATCTACGTCAAAGCTGGGGTAAGTCAAACCAGTACATTATGCTTCTCTTTGCTGCTTCTGTCGGTGGATCAGGTCTTGAATATTGCAAAGTCATTTTGAATGACACAAGATTTGAGCATGCTGGAGCTCTACTATATTAGGTGTCTTTTCTGAGACCTGAGCTGAGAAGTACTTGGTACTGTCTCCTTGTTCTCCTTTGGTTCCTGGAGCTGCTCTTCCTTGCAACTGCATTTGCAGCTCCCATCCCCTTGCCCTGCACTCTTACAGTACCTGTGTAGCATAAAACTTCCTCTAATTTGCTTTGTATCTGTTCTCCATTATCTGAAACCTCATCTACCCCCCTACAGGTGGTGACGATGCCAGAGTATCTGAGGAAACGTTTTGGTGGGAAACGGATTCAGATCTACCTGTCAGTCCTTTCTCTGATCCTGTATATTTTCACAAAGATCTCAGTAAGTAAAATTTCTGCATCATTTCATCTATCCTACATTGATCTAAAGAAAAGAAACTCCCATTTACAATATTGCTCACACAATTGGTCAGTTGTTTCTCATTTGGACTCCTTGGTTGAATTAAGGATGGTAAAAATATGATTTTGTATTTTCTTTATTCTGTCTAGTGAGATCGTGTATTCTGATCTGTCCTGCAGTCCGAGTTCTTTTGCCTTCCTGTCAGTGTCTCTTGATACTTGTTGTGTTTTCTCTTTCTTTTTTAGTTTTTTAAGGTTTATTTCTACGTATGCTTTCCTCTAGAACAAGTTAGAGTCGAAAGAAACCTGTATCTATTGAATCTATTATCTTAGGGATGTGGAGGAAAAGGTCACAAACCAACCAGTTAGTACCCTTTTGCCTGCTTCAGTTCTCTGAGAAATAATAGCTGTTGCTTGTTTAACCATGTCGTTTTAGAAACTTTCTAGTATTGCTTTGGGCACACAACACCCCGCTCCACCCCCCCAGCCCTTCTGCTAAGGGGAATGAACAGTTCTTCTTGGTTCCAGAAGAAAAACTGTGCTCTAAAGGAGCAGGAATTTTTGTCCCCAGAATAATAAGAATTAGAAAACAAGGGAGTGGGGAAATGCAAAGGAGGGAAATGATAACATCTGAGGTAAAAGAAGGAAAAAGGAGAGGTTCTTTTAATGGGCAAGTGGTTGGTATAAAGTTTAAGGTGCTATGAAGTTAATGTTTATTAACTAAGTGGTTGTCTTGCTGTGAAGTAGTAAGGGAGCTGGTATTTTCCATATATCTTGAAACTATCAAGCCCCTGAAGAAGTCCACAGTTCAGGCATACCTCAATCTGTTGTTTTGCAGAAGTTGCCATGGCAGATTACTCTTTGCCCTCTGAATGGGAGCTGAGTGATAATAGTGCAATTTAAGCTAAAAGATTGGCCTTTTGCTCTCATTCTCACGTCTTCACGATAACTGATCCTTAGAAAGGTTATAAATTAAACAGGCTGGTACTGTGGAGCTGCCCTCAGAGTTGAATCTCCATATATTTCAAAAAGATTAGTTAATTTGCTGCTGTTGTGCCTAAGTACCATAATCAGCAATCCCAGGCATGACACACTGCTCTGGCAGCTGAGAAACTCTTCCAGTCAGATGACTCACAGTCCTATTCTGCAACATATGTTTGTACTGAGCCTATCAAGGTGTTACACAGGTCCTGAAGTTACTATCTTTTCTTTCCAGCCTCTATCATGCTTAAGGATCTGTTCATGGAATTTCACACTGTTTCAGTTGGAGTGTCTTGCTTCCAGGCAAGACATGTTCTCCATTTAAGCTTCAAGTGTGGTCATGAGGCTGAAGCACCCACTCATGCTCTTGTGGTCCTGTTTTATTAGGCAGCAAAGCAGTAGTCAAGAGATCCCGACAGTAGCAGATTACCCGGACCCCACTCTACCAGTGGCCCATCCCAACTTCCCACCAGCCCAATTATTCCAGATGTGGGTGGGGAATTGCCATGGAGCTGGGTCTCTGCCCCATGCAGGGGAAAAATCTGGTGCACAAGTTCCCATAACCATTTATCTTGTTTTCTCCATCCACCCTGAACAACTCTGACAGCGTCTGTCCCATGTACAAACATGGCTCAGATTTCTGTAGTACACAAACACTTCTTCTGCATTGTTGTCTTATGTCACTATATTTGGTAGGGCAGGATTTCCCAGATCTGATTTACTTGCCATATCTTCCTATTCAGAATAGGCAGAACAGTCAAAGTTCTTGGAGGTTTCAGGTGCTGTCGGAGGGTGTCAGAGGAGGTTTCACTATGCCATGCTGTGCGACCCCGTGCTGGGATTGTCTCCAGATGAACCAGCTCCAGAAGCAGAGAGGGAAGGGCTGTTCCATCCTGGACTGTGGCTGACTTCTTTGTGCTGTGTAGAGATACACATGCCACGTGAAGGTAGCACAGATCTCTCTTCCCAGAGGCACGTTGTGTCTCCAAACATCCCCACGTGTTGACAGTCCATGCCATAGCCAGCTTGGAGATTTGCATTTTACTTCCTTGACAGCTGCCTTTGCGAACACTCCCTTGTGATCTTTGGGGCTTATTGAGATTTGAAACAGAAGGGTCAGTTCCTGCCCTGCCCTTAACGGGCAGTCACACCTATCAGTTTGGCTGGCAGCGATACCTACTGACGCCTACCCTTGTAGAAGAGTGGCATCTTGTTTCTGGGGTAGTTATTTAGTGTGCTCCTACCTTGATGTGTTAAACTATTATCTGATGTTCTTAATAACATAGTTATTACGGTTCTTTCCAATGAACAATATAATATGTCAGGCCATGTAACCCTTTGCATGCTCCTTCTGGGACAATGCTCGCCACCACGTCATGATCAGATTCCCTTTGCACACCTCTATACAAGGTCATTACCATTTCTATTTTCCTGCACATTTTCCATGTATTTTTTGTTGATTTCCTACCTTGTTTTGTGGCTAATCAGCCACTTGCCAGACAAGGAAATGCCGCAAGGTGTTGATCTTTGGGATGAGGACACACGTGATCTGTGAGCCCAAAGGATTTCTTTAGGACGGGTGCCTCACATGTACGTGCTTCCTAAGCATCTGGTACTTTGTGAGTAATGCCCATAGCAGCTTTCAGGGGTTTGCCATCCATAGGTGCTGCTGATATCGGTCATTATGCCAAAGAAAATGGCCGAGTAAAAATCTTGACAGAGAGTAATTGACTAAATTATGACAAGACAAAAGGGAATTAAGACCTGAATGCTTTTGAAGAGATCACAAATTGTAAAGTGAAATTTCTAAATGTGTTACAGCATTTTCTTTACATTCATTGTGCATGATTTCAGTAGCAAACGTATGGGTATGGACTTACCAAGGGAAAGAGGAAATAGAAGGATAACCCCTAGGAGTGCACGATGTTGGGGGTAAAGAGCATGTGCCACCACCCTGACTCTCACATGAACACTGCAGCTGGATTCACTCAGCTGGCATGTGTTCTGCCAGTTGTGCCTGCATGATCCGTGGGTGCCTTTGCAGACATAGCTTATAATGTAAAATAAAGGTTTAGTCTATTTAGAGATAAGATAAGGATTAAATAGTGTCCATAAAAGGATATTAATGGAGAAACAAGGAAATGCTGGAATGAAATAATCTAATTGGGAGAGAGGAGCAGTGAGGTTGGAAGGTAACGGTAACTCAGCAATTTGAAGAAGCTGATATATTGCTCAGGATGCTAAATAATTAACTATACATTTCTTTCTGGGGGTCATTTTAGGACCATTAATATTTAATGCTATGTAGGTTAAACTAAAGCCAAGAACAATAAAAGACAGATCAGGGACATAAGCTGGTCATTGGTGTGAAAAGACAGGAAAAAAATAGTCCCATAGAGGGAAGGGACAAAGGATATGGTCTAACAGCCACGGGTTAGGAGTTAAATGTCCTGGTACCCGGTTCCATACTAAAACCTATAAGAAATCAAATCATCTGGTGTGATTCACAGATCATTGCTGCATGTCAGGGCAGTGGGGTTGGAGGTCTTGCTGCAGAGGTCCAAACATCTTCCTTATTCTCCAGAGTGAACTAAGGGTGAGGTCATACCCTGCAGTCTCAGTTTCAGTGTCTCTGGAATGAAGAGGTTTCTTCATCCAGCATCTCCCAGCTGGGCAGACACCATAACTGCTTATTAGTGTATCTGCCCTGCCTTACCTCATCCTAGCTGTGGACAAAAGCATTGCAAATGACTGTCTGTGCCACAGGCTCTGGTTATCCCGCAACCTGTGGAACCTCTGGCTCTTCCAGGCAGCTGCCCCAGGGCACATGGAGTGGTGTTTGTCTCTGTCTCTCAGACCCTGCATATGGGCAGTTCCTGCAGCATTTTGCAGCTCCCGAGCTTGCTGAACACCACCAGGACTTGTACTGTTAAATGAGGACAGGACACCCTGTATAGAGCCCTTGTAGGTGGTGTGGTCTACAGAAAGGGTGGGATTGGAGGTGAGCCCATGAACTGGATGCTCAGGAGCAGGGATAGGTACAGGTGAAAACCTCCAATGCAAGCATAATTTACAGTAATGCATTACAAGTGCATTACTTGTAGATTATTCTGATTGAAAACTTGATAAATAACATTGATGCCAATTATGTCTGTATCAGGAACTAAAAATCCCAGAGTGTTACTCTGAAACCTGAACAGCTCCCTTCTTATGCAAGAGCTAAAGGTCTCTTCTGTTAGCCAACCAGTGTCAATTATTCTGACAGGAACTTAAAAATAGAGATAATATAAGATGTTTGCCTTTAATCATCTTTCTTCTTGAACCAGCAAGACTAGCTATACCACACGTATGCAAGCGGTAAAGAAAGAGTAAGACACTTAGAAGGTACATGCCGTGTCTGGAGGTATCACTGAGTCCATCCCCACACAGATCAGTGAGTGTAGCCTGAGCTTTAATTAATTTGTTATTGAGCTGTGTCTCAGTATGTTAACACAGTGTAGCAAGGTGACTGTGTCTGGCTAAAAGGAGCTATTGAAAAAAACATGGAAATTCTTTGAGAAGTGCAGCTCCTGTCCTGAAAGCAGCACAGCACTGAGAGGAGTCTGGCAGTTGTACTAAATGTGGTCTCTATTCTCATTTTGCACTTTTTGTGTGGGTGTGTGTGTACTGTAAGGGGGAAGTTGTATATTTCAGTACCCTCATCATGAATGTGTAATGTACCGTCATCATGATTTTAAACATTGCTTAGTCCATCATTTTTTCTTTTACAGGCAGACATATTCTCTGGAGCTGTATTTATACAGCTGGCCATTGGGCTGAATCTTTATGTGGCCATAATTATCCTGCTTGCTATTACTGCTCTTTACACCATCACAGGTGAGTTTGCAGAGCAGTCTGATAAACCACAGGAGTTAGGGAAGCCAGGAAAAAGAGAAGGGGGGAGATGGGTGAGAGGGGAGAAACAAAAACCTGAAAGGGGAGTTACCTACAGTGGTCTTTGTTTGAGAGAGGTGGTGAGAAAAGGAAAAAAAAGCAATTTCCACTGAGGCATTTGCACAGGAGCTAACGTATTTGTCTTGACTTTTCTTTGCCATTAGGTGGCCTTGCGGCTGTGATTTACACAGACACCTTACAAACATTTATCATGGTAGTGGGATCCTTTATCCTCATGGGATTTGGTAAGTAAATCAGATGAATTAAACTGGGATGTTCAACCACAAATCCACCCTGGCTATGGAAATGGATCCTGCAGTGTGGAACTCTGCTATCTTAACCAGCAGATTTCAGTTCATATACCTATTTATCAGGCAAGAAAACAAACATGTTGCCAAAAAATAGGCATATTGCTGAGCCCTTTAGTCACTGAGACCACTCCATCTCCAAAGCAGAGGTGAATGTGTAAGGTGATGTATAGCATCCCATGACAGAACAGGACGAGTGATGGCTAATAAGGTAAAAGCAGAGTTTGCAGGTGATGATGATACTCTTGAGGAGTTCAGAGAGTATCTTATTTTAAGAAGATTAGAATTTCATCAGTATTCAGAAGCCAATGCATGAAAATTTCTGATTCAAAGTGAAGATCTGTGGGTCACGTTGCTTGTTTTAACTTGTTTCTAGCTGGTAGCTTGTGTTAACACAACCCGAACATATTAACATTTTAAGTGTGCCTCGTAGTAGATCTGTGGATGTCATATTGTCAGCTGGACAAAAGGTACAAAGGCAATGTTTATGAATAGCACAGAGTGTGTGTCCAGAAGACCATATGCATTTTAAAACTGAAATCATGCTGTTAAATGGAATTAGTAAGAAGGGATCGTAAGAAAGAAAGAAGTAGGGATAAGACTCTGTGAATTTGTAGTGTCCTTCCCTTATCCTTCTCAGTGCTTGGTTTCCCTCACATGAGGTCTTCCACTCAGATTAATCATTCCACCATTGTTACAACAGAAATAACTTTAGACTGAGGTGACCTGGTAAAGTGTGTGAAAATAATGTATTCACTTTTTGCTTCTTGGCAAGTTGTCTATAAGTGATGTTGAGACAGTGGAGCCCAGGCCAACGTTTGTGAGCTATACAGAAACCTGAAAAGAAAGGTCACTTTGGAACTTAGATTGTGTGAATACTTACAAAACACTTATTCTGTTTTCTGAAAATGTCGATGTATACTGGCTAGGGGTTTTTACATCTGTATTTAGGGGATTTTCCTCCTCACATTCTCTCTATTTCAGATTTCAGTAATAAATACTTTATTACACCTTTTACCTTTTATTTTTTCAGCATTCTCTAAAGTAGGAGGGTATGACGCTTTCATGGAGAAGTACATGAATGCAATTCCATCCAACACCTCCTATGGGAATGTTACCATTGATCCCGCGTGCTACACGCCTCGGCCGGATTCCTTTCACATCTTCCGAGATGCCGGCACTGGGGACCTGCCGTGGCCAGGGCTCATCTTTGGTTTGAGCATCATTGCTTTGTGGTACTGGTGCACAGATCAGGTAATGTGGGAGCCGTATGCCCGGGGAATGCCAAACACAAAGCTCTGTAGTCTGGTGTGACCTGGGGGTGCTCTTCCCCCACTGTAACTCAAAGCTGGGTCACAGAAATGGCAGTTATTTCAAGATTTGTCTGTGACTTTTCAGTTTCTGATTTCTAAACCACTCACACATGTGAGAAAATGGAACGGGTGTTCCTTCAGTTATTGTACACTGTGCCCAGCAGACACTGCGTGTAATTCCTGTCTCATTTTTAATGTGTGACCATGTGTAAAAACACAGAGAGGTTGCAATGTGAATATTTACTTAGGAAACCATGCATCAAATGATCCTTGTGAGACTGGGTCTAGGTATGGTTCCCCATTCAGTAATACTAGTTTGCTTCCTGTTTGCCTGGCTTTCACCTTTGCGTGCACAGTCCTGGGAGGATGTTCTTTGGTTGAGTCATGTTTGCCATATCTCATTGGCAGGTTATTGTCCAAAGGTGTCTCTCTGGCAAGAACATGTCCCATGTGAAAGCTGGTTGTGTCATGTGTGGATACTTGAAGCTCTTGCCCATGTTCATCATAGTGATGCCTGGGATGATCAGCCGAATTCTGTATACAGGTATGAATATATACACAGAAATGCAAATTTCTTCTTGCTGCCTGTCTTTCACTGCCAGTCTCTCTCCATTTCCTATTCTCTGTCCCTTCCAGAATGCCTGTTAGATTGTCATCTTGTCACCCAAGTTGTCCAGACACATGTATGCCCCAAAACTACCTACACTGTAAGAGCCACAGGTTTTCTTTTTCCTGATCCCAGGTTTCTGCTAACACTACTGCTGTCTGTTTGAGGAGAGAGAAATTCCTCAGTGTCCCTCCCCAGCTGGTGTTACAGCCCTGCTCTGGCTAATGAGAGGAACATGCTGTCTAGGACTGATATTCTGCTGGCAGAGGAGGAGTCATCAGCCACAGGCAGCAATATTTTGGGCCATGGACAGTCCCAAATGCAGTGTGGGGGAAATGCCAGTCTCCCCTCTCTCCCACCACCAGTGTTTAACAGCAGGCGGAGGAGCGATGCTCATGTTGGAGGGAAGGGTCTTTGTGTTCTGCTGCTTGTTTTTCTGCTTTCTCTCCTGGTGGTGTTTTTTTTGGCCTCTAGCACCTTTCAGTGTTCTTTTAGAGAGGAAAGGAGGGACAGAGGCCTAGAATCACCTTCCTCTCTGCCAGCAGACCATGGATGACGTCAAGCTTGCCAATCCAGTGGTTAAACACAGAGATAAATTTTAGAAGCTTTACTAATTTGGGAGCAATCTGTTGCTTGTATGACCTTGTGTAACGCTCTCTCCTTATTCTCTCCTCAGATGTGGTGGCTTGTGTTGTGCCTGAAATCTGTGAGAAGTACTGTGGCACCGCAGTTGGCTGTACAAATATTGCTTATCCCAAAATGGTAGTTGAGCTTATGCCAAATGGTAAGACACTGTATTTTTTTGTTTGTTTTAGGAAAGGTGAGGCTGCCTACCTGTAAAAATAGGTGATAGAAGGAGCCCGAGTCCCATATTTAGTTCAAAAATTCATGCTAGAACTATTAATCAAAGGGGTAGTCTGTATTAGTTGTAGCTGTAGGTGCAGAAGTGGTACACACTGACAGTATCAGCTCTCAGCTGGCAAATACGAGTGATGAAACGGAAAACGAGCTCCCTTTCTGTGAAGGTAAAAGAATAACCTACTTCACCAATGATTTATAAAAGACTGACTCTGCCAGGATTTCTGAGTTGGAGACATACACCTGCAGCTGCTTACTCTGATTTTCAGTGAAAGAAACTTTTTTTTTTGCCAAACAACTGGTTTACAAATAAACTACAATTAAGTAAGCACTTGCCTGCAAATAAGAGAGATTATTTTTATAACTGTTGGGGAAAGTCTGCTTACCGTTTTTTAATTTTTATTTTATCATTTAATTAGACAGCATTCACAAAAGAAGTACTTATGTTTTAAAAGCTCAAGATTTGCCCTGTCACTGCTGTAAATAGCTTTTCCAGAGCTCAGCAGACATTACTCTGCTTGCATGGCAGGAGAACTCCAGGCTGGCACCAGCACATAAATATGCCGGCCACAGTCGTAGCTGGCTGACCCGAAAGGGTGAGAGGAGCACTATGGATGGTGACACGTGCCACGACTGGTCACACAATGCTCACCCCAGTTCACGTATCTTTGTATTTCAGGTCTGCGGGGTCTGATGCTGTCAGTCATGTTGGCCTCCCTGATGAGCTCCCTGACTTCCATTTTCAACAGTGCCAGCACCTTGTTCACTATGGACATTTACACCAAATTCCGAAAGCGACCATCTGAGAAAGAGCTGATGTTGGCTGGAAGGTACGTGCAGCCGGGTCTCCCCCAGCCCTACAGTCATGGCCAGCACCAGGGGCTTCCCGGGCTGCAGCCTCCTAAACATGCACCAAGTGCCTGGGTGAGACCTGCTTTGGTGATGTGTGGGTAGCACAGCAGTGGCCTCCTGTGGCTGGACAGGCTGTCCCACCTCCATTTCCTTTTGGAAAGAAACACCAACCTTGCTTCCAGTTTCATTGACAGTGGTACATGAAGTAGCTGAACTAATTCCCAACATTTCCTACTGCTATTCAAAGGGAACTATTAAAGTGTCTTCCCAGGCTTTATGCTACACCACAGTACAGCAGAAGTAAACTAGCTCTTCTAGTTGATCTGCTATTGATTTGTCTCTAGACATAACAAACAAAGGAAAAAAGTAATTTTCTATGTTTTGATTGCACGTTCAGCTCTGTGCTGAGGGATATTTGACAGACGCAATATCCAGCTTGGATTTCTTTTGTTTGTTCAATGGTAATTGGCCATTATCATTGATTTTGCTGGTTGAAAAACAAAATGGACGTTTAAATTATTGATTAATTGCTGTTTTTTTCTTTCTGATAGATGCTTCTAAGCAGGCGGCTAATTGAATATCTGGCTATGTTTACAGGGCATTTATGTTACTTTTAATTGGCGTCAGCATTGCCTGGGTGCCTGTGGTGCAGTCGGCTCAAAGTGGGCAGCTCTTCGATTATATTCAGTCAGTTACCAGCTACCTGGGACCTCCCATTGCTGCTGTCTTCCTGCTTGGTGTCTTCTGCAAGCGAGTCAATGAACAGGTAAGTACAAATTAGGAAATGGGTATCTACCGTGTTCCTTTAGGCATTGGGAGAACCACTTTTTTGTCTTAGTGTCTTTTATTAGCAACTTCTTCCTGTTTATTTTAATTCCTACTATTGCCCAGGGATTCTGTGTTTCCATACCCCAGGGCCTGAAGTTTCAGAGATAAGTTTGAAAAAGTTCTTTGCTAATCTGATAAATAGTCACCTAGGAACGTCTAGATAGCTCCAAAATTTAGGTTATCTATCACTTTGCCAAGAAGTGTGTCAAATGGATAATTTATGGAGACACATTTGAAAGCAATCTTTTAGGATATCGGTTGCCAAACTGCTTTATCAAATATATCACCTTTTAACTTCCTCTTGACCACTATATACTTTGCTTGTTTGTTTAAAAGACCGTTAGCAATGGTTTCATGCATTGTTTCCCACTGCTTTTAGGTTCTAGTCTGGGAATCACTGATTTTGATTCACAGAGCAGTGAACTGAGAAATATTGTACTTAAGCCTTTGTAAGTAACTCAGAAGGCGTGAGGTCTGTCACATGCCTTGGTGGGACCATAGGCCAGTCATGGTGACTGGGTCTCAGACATTCTGAAAACTCAGTACTCAGGAATTTGGTTTCTTTTCCATAATACTAGAAAAAACAATACTTGCCTGTTGCTCAGGTTTGCTCCGAGGAGGATGAGTTCAATGAGGAAGCCTAGAGAGAGAAGGGTTTTTAATATGGCTGAGCTTTTTTCTCACTATTTTCTCTTGAGACCAGTTCAGTGGTTGATTGTGTGTATATCCCACAAGGGATGTTCCATTTCCTATCCCAATATGGCTAAACCCCACAAATGGATTAAATCTTTGTGCTCTTCATGGAAATCTGTTGTTTAGTTGGAATCTGTCTTTAGTTGGAATTTTACCTAAGTAAGAATTCAGTGTAAACCATGGGGTTTTTTGTACACTGCACAATTTAAATTTGGGTAAATAGGGGAGAAAAGAATCAAAGTTTCTGAGAATTGGGGCCTTGCACAAGATAAACTCCATTACTGTAATTACTTATAAGATCTATCCACATTTCTTGCTCGGAATCATTTTTCTTTCTGCCAGAAATGGAATTAACTATCTTGTCCTACTCCAAAACCTTTTTGTAACTTTGAACACTGAGTAATTAAACCCCTTTTATTCTTAAACTGAGAATTAAAACTACAATATTTTTTAATGGAGATTTATAAATTTGTGTTACCATCATTTTTTTGACTTGACAAAGTCAGAGAATGGCTGAGATTGGAAGGCACCTCTGGACTAGTGCAACCTCCCCTACTCAAAGTGGGTCTAACGAGCAGGATGCTCAGGTCCATGAATATCTCCAGGGATGGAGACTCCACAATGTCTCTGGGCAACCTGTTGCAATGTTCAGTCACCCTTAGAGTAAAACAAACAAAAAACATGTTTAAACAGAATTTCCTGTATTTCAATTTGTGCCCAGGCATACCTGTGTCTTTTATACTTTGGGCTAGAGTAATATATACCTAGCAGAAAAACCTCCCCCAAAAGTATTGAGAATTAACTTTTAACTAATTACTAACAGGGTCATTAAAAGATAAACCTGACACACATTTCAGGAGTAATGACACACACTTGTAGCTCATTCCATCGTGCTAGAGCTGTCAGGGATTTAGCCCTCAAAGATAAAAAGATGTGAGAACAACCCCTGGGATGTGCATCTGTGGCTGGAGCCTGTCCTGTACAGGAGGAGCGTTGTGTGCAGACAGACAACTTTGAGAAATCAGCTGGATAAAATGTCCTCTATATTCTTTCTCAGAGCTGCTGGGTGTTGTCCCTTTCAGTTGTATTAATACACTGAGCTATAAATACGGTCACTGAAAGTATCTGGGTTAAAACCCATGTGCCAAAGCCAGTGTAAAACGTAACTACCTGCATGTTTCCTCCAGCACCTATTCAGAGCTTAGTGCTTATTCCCATGCCTGAAACTACTCATTTTGATACTTCTGCCACTTTTTCTGCAGGGTGCCTTCTGGGGCCTGATGATCGGGCTGCTCGCTGGGCTGGCTAGAATGATTGCGGAGTTTGCCTACGGGACCGGCAGCTGTGTGAGCCCTTCCAACTGCCCGTTCATCATCTGTGGGATTCACTACCTTTACTTTGCAATTATTCTTTTTGGGGTTACCGCCATCGTCATCCTGGCAGTCTCCTTCATGACTAAGCCCATTCCTGATGTGCACGTGAGTATCACTGCAGTCCTGCTCCTCAAGAAAGGGAATTTCAATGAAACCACAGGTTTTAAACAACTGGTACTTGATATATTGCCTCCTGACATTCCAGCTACCCGTATCACAGAGTCTTTTTGTCTCTGTGTAGTCAGGCTGTAGATTCATGAACTCATTTTGTTTCATGGCAGCTTTACCGCTTGTGCTGGTCTTTGCGGAACAGCAAAGAAGAACGTATTGATCTTGATGCAGAAGACGAGCAGGACAAAGCTGATGAAAGGGATGAGGAATCAGGTAACTGTTGTAATGTCTATAGGTTCTATCAATATATTTGAGTATCCCTGTTTCATTCCTGGATAAACATTAACATGCTTGATGTTCAAAGAGATCCTCCTCCCACCCAACAACAAAACCTCAAACCCCACATATTTAAATGGCGAGTGAACTGCCTTTTTCCCAGTCTACCAAGCTCAGTGTAAACCAGAAGCAAAGTGGATTCAAAGGCAGAAAATCCTGTTCTCTAGGTAGCTAGATGGCAGTTCTGGAACTAAAACAATGGAGATGCTTCAGGTCAGAGGTGGTGTGCGTTGGCAGAACTGTGTGTGACTCCAGCACTTGGAAGGAAACAATGAGAATTCACTTGGAAATAGTGGGCAGTAGCCAGGATTGAAGGAGCAACGATCTGGTGCAAGGGACCATGAAAACAAATTGCCAGACATCCATCTGGGCAAAACCACCTGCTCTCTTTGCTGGGTTTCTGGTTGTGCTGCCAATTTCCTTGTCATAAGTATCCTCAAATTAATTTAATCATCTTTTAATTAAAAGTATAGAAAGTATTGAAAAAAATGGAGTTTAATCTTCGCAGCATGGTTTGCTTCTCCAATACCAAGTCTCTAGGCTGCAAAAGGTGCAAGTGTCTTCTGCAAAAGGCTCTCTTGCGACATGTAGAAAATCACTCTTTTTTCCAGGCGAGCTGTGAAAAGTACTGCCTTGTACTAAAATATTTCCATGTAATTCTCACCATAAACCAGAGCTGCTATATTAAATATAGCCATGTCCTCAGTCACAGAGATCCTCTGGTGCATGCGGTGGTCCATGCTTACATTTCATGACCAGTGTGTTATTCCTTCCAGTTAATGAGGAAAGTCAAGAAGACCCGGGATGCTTTAAGAAAGCGTACAACTGGTTCTGTGGCTTAGATCAACAAAAAGCGCCCAAACTGAGCAAGGAGGAAGAGGAAGCATTGAAGAAGAAACTGACCGACACGAGCGAAGTGCCGCTTTGGAGAAATGTTGTGAATATCAATGGCATCATCCTATTGACTGTGGCTGTATTTTGCCATGCCTTCTTTGCATAAACCTCTGATTACAGGCCTGAAATAGTACTGTATTGTCCAGCAAAAACGATGACTTGTAGATTTAGGGCTAGATACACTTTGTATTTTCATTGTCTATGTTTGTAAAAAATCAGGGTGATTTACTCTGCTGATTGTTTTATCATAATTTCAACAATCTAAAGATGAAGGCCACTGGGATTTCAAGAGAGAGAATTTCTGAATCAATCCAGGGTTAATAGAGGCTCAGAATTTCCATCCAATATTCTCTCTACTCATGATACATTTCATATTTTAGGTGCAGAACAAGGCTGCATGAGCCATATTTCTTATCAGGGTTTGTAAACTACTTTCTAGGGTTGATTTTCAACCCTCCTTCTTCTGATCATTCAAATTTCTCTTTCCTTTGGCTATGATAATTTGATTACAAAACACCCACAACAACTGAGGGACTGTATTATGAATTCAATTAAAAATCATTTCTGTTCCCTCCAAGCATGGGATATCTTAGGTGAAGGATTTATGTATATATTGATGTATCTGACACAATATCTAACGTTCCATTGTAACTATTTTCCTTTTTTTTTTTCACTTTTCATTGTGTTTTCTCAGTGATCAGTGGAACACTAACCATCTGAATTGATTGCATTTTGAAATTAGGGAAAACATGTCCCAGTGATCGTAATAAGAATTCTGCTTATGATAGATTCTCTGTTTAAGGTTAACTTCAAAAGGTCCTTTCTTTATATTTTAATATGTACCTATACTTGAATGTGAAGCTTTTTATACAAAATACATATATTATATATACACATACAATACATTATATATATGCACTATATATATTATGTATATTTAAAATATATATGTATGTGTGTGTCTATATATATATTTATTTCTTACTGATCAGTTTCCATCTTGGTATGTCAAGTCAATCTCTACCCAGCATTACTAGGACCTCTTTATGGTAGGGTTGGTGTTAATGTATTGCCTCTTTCCATGGACTATGGAAACAATTCTTGCACGTGGTTAAAAGTCCAAAGCATCGGAACGCTGGGTTTGCATTTTTCTTTCAAGTACATCTGAGAGCTCTGTACTGCTTCTGTGCAAAGCTATAGATCTTTCCTCGGAAGATTTCATTGACAAATAGAATTCAAGCTGTACAACAGTATGAGTTAATAGTTCATGAAGAAGAATAGTCACAGCTGCAGGATATCAGCTAAACCAGTCTGATTGTCTCCTCTTGATAAGTTTGATACCAGCTGGAGGTACAGAAAAAGATAGATTTAACATTTCAAAGCAAAAAGCAATAGATCTTCTTATCATCTAATTCAGCTTCCCGGGGAATCAAGCGTAAGAAGACGACATTGCTTGCTGTAGTCAAGCCCCACCACAATTCCCTGTTCCTGCTGCTCGTGTAGCGCGCGATGCTGCGTTGTCTCAACGCGTTTCGGTGCGATTCCACAGCGGGATGCACCAGCCTTGCCATAAATGCATCTAAAGGGGAAGGCAGTCTGTGCTGCACCACCCTGCGCCGACTCCTGCTGCTTTAATCACTCCCACTTCCTAATCTTCTGTCAGTATCTTTTCTTCATTTGGATCCAAACCAAAATGCTCTGGATTCAAGTAGAATCACTGCTCCTCAGTATAATCCCTTCAGTACACTGAAAGGTTTTGCATAGGCCAGATCAAATCAATATAAATATCAGTGCAAACCATTTTCTTACAGTTAATACAGCAATAGAGTATTTCAAAGACCATGCAATTAATTATATTTAATGGACTATGAAGACTTGTATGTATTAAAGTATTTGTATATTTTAAAGTATTTGGTGTCCACAAAATGATGTGATTTTTATCCAGTATGATGGAAGACTGCGAAACTTAATTTGGTGTCTGGGTTTTGGCTCTGGGTAATGGTAAGGGATGACAAACAAACAAGAAGGACTTTAGTGAGGATTGCCCAGAGCCCTCTTTGTCATGCTCTGTTACAAAAATAAAAATATGGTGAAGCTATACAGCCATTTGGGTAAAGACAAACAATACAAGTGATTTCCTGGCAGGCTGAGCAGCCTGTAGATGACCTCCTGGTTAATCAGGCAGCGTTACTTCATTTTCCTTCCCAGGATTGAAGAATTTTGAAAAACTCTCAGTTTCCTGGGGGCGTTCACTGTACAGCCTCAGCAACCTGTTTCTGTTCTGGTCTGAAAACCAGATGGGGTAGGGGCAGAGTTCAAATGTTTACATAAAGTTTGACTGCTGCAGTACTTAGAATTCAGACTTTGGTTTTATTCCTATTTTGTTATTGAAAAAGATTATGCACTGAAATGTTGGAGGAGGGAAGCTCTTGGCTAAATTTGGAATGCATCTGTAGTTTTAGCCAAAATGTCTGTCCACAGCAAATTAGGACAGAGCACAAGGATGAGTTCTTCATGTGCAGGTGTTCCTTGTGATCAGAGAACCACCAGCAGCTGTGGTTGCTAATTGGCTCAACTGCTGCTCGGATCACTTTCTTAACTGGCAAAATTAGGAATGTTTATATGAAGCAAAAGCTGACACAAAAATGAAGAGCAAAGAGTAATGATAAAAATATATGTCACCAGTGGTGACTGGCATTTGGGAGGAAAAGCTATAGAGCCTTGGTTACTGCCTTTGGAGAACACTTGTACCCGTTGGTTTGAAGCACTGAGCTGGAGGAGAGTTTTAAGCTGATATTCCTGGGGATAGAGAGTGACACTGCACAGAGAAAGGCTGTTCACAGGCTCTGGGGTCACAGCAAAGCTCTTCTGAGGAAGGCTGATTTTTATTTATTTTTTTTTTTTTTTATTTAATGATCTTATGTCCCAGCTGCAGGTCCTGCAGCCATCCTGTGTAGTGGCAAGAGGGGAGAGAGCAGGGATTAGAACTTCCCTGTTGAACTTAAGATAAGTATCAGAGATTTAACAGCAGAGGGTGGTGCAGCACTGAGAAGGATGAGACATGCACCCCACACACCACCCCCCGAGTCTGCACCTGGTGATTCACGGCATTTTTTGATGGGGCGAGTGTTGCAGGCCCGTGTGAGAGAACTCACAGGGTGGAGTCAAACTGCACTCACTCCAAAATCTGCTAGTAGTTCTGATGAGATATGTGATAACCAGCAACAGTGCCTGAGGTTATTACCCTTATTATTAATAAAAGAGGTCACCTTTTTTGTTCCTCCTGAAGAACCAAAAAGAATTTGAGAAAGTTTGAAAATAAGAAGAATTTTCTTGGAACACCTGTGCCCACCCCCTCCCCACCTGGCAGTGCTTAAGGCTGTGCTCTACCAGCACCTTCCCTGCTTTTCTTAAGGAAGAACTTCTAGCTGAGGTAAGTGTGAACTTTTATTTACAGCATCAGAGCCTAAAACTTTAAAAACTTAGCTTATATTCAAAGTATCTTAAAACAAATTATTACAATGGCTTTTGTTCATTCAAATTGCAAATTTTGTCTCACTAAAAATAGGTCCTGTGCTTAACTTCTCAGCATAGTTTGTGTGTAGTCACAGAAAAGACATTCTGCCATTCTGGTTTAATGTAATTAGCCACATCTGACTTTCCCAGACTCTTTATTTTGTCCTTAGATAAATATCCCAGTTTTATGCATTTTTAATATTATTATTATTTAAATAGAAACGTAGTTGTGGGAAGCAAAAATACTCCCTGCTTTGAAACATGAAGAGATAGAAGTAAAAGCTGCCTTTTTCCAGAGCAGGACAGAAGCGTTTCCAGCTCCTGGGCTTCTGAAAGCAAACGGGGACAGGGAAATGGGTCTGTAGTTGGAAGAACAAAGAGCCATAATGTTCGTAACCTTATGGAAACGGTTAGAAAGAAGTAATGCAAACCTCTGTGCATTCAAAATGAGCTCTGCCTGGGTGGGACACGAGGCTCATGGAAGAAGGTCTCATTTCCCATGAACGCAGCCGTCTTGTCTTCCCCTGCCAGGGCTGAGCGTTGTTCCCCAGCAGATCTGAAAACTTGGTCTATGTAGAGTGTAACTGAATTAATTCCAGTATTGACCCAGGGCCACATTAATTATATCTGGGCCTTAATCATTATTGGCTTCAAGCTAAAAAGACAAATCATTTTTCATTGATGTTAAAAATCTGCCTAGGTGTTAATGTCATTGCAGTACAGAGCACTGTGCAGCATATAGTGCTAAAGACAAAGACTTGCTGTATACACAGCATTTCCTTTGAAACAATGAGTTTAATTATAGTGTATGAGTGTGCCAGATCCTGACATGTTAATTTAAGTATTTATGTGTGTGAAGCAATTCAAAAGAATCTTTAGCATTTTTGTGACCAAGTCTGTGGCAGCTTTATTGTGGAGTCTATTTGACTGAAAGCTAAGTCAGTCTGAGGGGGTGCATTCATCAGCTGTGTTTCTTTGATCCAGCTAATTGTTTTACCCACACCTAGAGTGCTAATTAATTGCCCAGCCTCGCAAATTAGGGACTGTTGTCTCTCATTCCAAAGCTATAGACAGCCATGGCACTCCCCATACATGTTATGTTTCCATGCTTCCCTGGTCCTTAGTCCCTATCTAGCTGTGAATGGTCAGCACCAAGACCACTGCATGGCCAGCAAGGACCTCTCTGGGGCAACACCCGTGATGTGGGTCAGCAAACGTGTCCTTATTGAGAAAGGAGAGAATGTCCATAGAAAACTGTTGGCATCACAGGTTGCCCATTTAGCATCACATAACATCAGTGTCATCATCTTGTTGGTGAAGCTCATGGGGAATGTGACCCAATCTGTTCCTGCCCTTAGACTTGCCAGGACAGGTGACCTTCTCATTTTATCAAAATGCCAATATGAGAAGAATTTGAGGATGCATTTTTCATTTTGCGCACTGTCTTAAGGGCAACAGTGTACTCAGCAGTTAATAACTGAGACAAGTCAAAATACTGCTAGGGCCAACGGATGTCTTGGGTTAACTCCAATCTGATTTATAAATCAGCATTACTGTAACTCCAGTACATCTTGTTCTGCTTTGTTTCAGACTTAGTGTACCTCAGAAGAAAAAGAAAATCTTTAATCATAAGGATTTTTTTATAGATATGAAAATTCATTAAATTATTATTTGCTAAATTATAGAATCAAAGTTAGTTTAACAATGAGTAAGAGGATTGAGAATTCCAAACCTAAAAATCCAGGCTTATGCTGTATATTTTCTACCCAATTCTCTTTACCCTATAATTTCTGTTCATGCCACTGGGTTGCTTTTTGTCTCTCTTCCAAATATGTTTTGGGTCAACTTGGATTTTCCTTTTTTGCACCATCAGTTTCTCTCTTTGTGAAAACTTATTCTTGATCGCTTTGATTTCCCAACTGCTATTTCAGAGCTGCAATCTCATCTCCCATCTTAGAGTCACTGCTTTAACAGGGAGATTCAGAAACACACTGAAACATATCCACCAAAATTATTGGATGTCTTAGTAACTGTTGACATTAGTGGATGGTCTCGAAATCTGCTTTTGTGCCTTGTTACTAAATACATGGGTAGCCTATAGTATAAGCATTATAAAATTATACTTCTTCCTTTTTTTGACATATCTGCAAATAAAACAGGGCATGTTATTTCCTGCCAAATAACATAGAAAGCATGTCTGCATTTCCTCAGGGGAAAAAATATACATTGGAACATTTAGTTAGGAGTTTTACCTATTTGACTAATTTCAATTACATTTGAGATCTCAAAGGTCTTTATGAAGATTGTGAAGGGACATTTTGGATGTTGAATTGTGGCTGAGAAACTCATTTTAGGATGGAGATTTAGGGCTCAGCATATTACTATGGGAGCAATTGTGTGTCAAATTTTAATATACCCTGAAAAATGATTTTGTAAAATAAAAACTTACTGCTTAATTCAGGTTCCTCATAGTCAGGATTACAAAGGAGGCAGCGTGATATTTCTCTGCTCTATCAGGTAGATCTGTGCATGGGCCCCTTGTCCCCCACGCTGTGACAGCGTTTGGCCTCCTGCAGTGTAACCCAGTAGGAGACACCAAGATAACACAGCTCTAGAAACACCACAGATGTTACAAAACAATATTCTGCAATAAATGGGATTATTTCTGCATTAGTCTGTGTTCTCTGCAGCATCCTTTGCTTCCCATAGGCTGTTCAACTCCACCACCGTCGTCGTACTTTGGGCTGTGCTCCTGCAAACATTTATCATCTACAGTCCTTCCAATAAATTGCAGCCATCTGCACCACTCTGGGGCATGTGGATTTGAATTATAGTATTTGCAACCTTTATGTCAGGTAAAACTAAATTATGTAAAGCTAAATATAGATTTATAAGTAAAAAAAAATAATAATGTAGTAATGGTTCCTGCCTGTTCTGTATGCAGACTTTGACTTAGGGTGTTTGTATAGGCAGTCACTATAGCCCAATGCAGTTATTGTTGGGATTGAAATATCATATTTTATGTTGTCAGATGTACCATTGCCAAAGAACTGCTGGGACAAAAGCTGACCTGGGGAAGGGGTACCACCAGCATCTGTATTTCCGAGTTCAGTTAAGGCTTTGTTCCATTTCTGTATTGTGTGTGAATGTAAGACAAGAACACTGATAGCACCGAGAGCCTTATTTAGAAACAGTTGATATCGTCGTTAAAGCAATGATCAGGCAGATCTCAGAATGCAGTACTTAAGGTCCGAATCAGCTAAATTTCTTCTAGTCGGAGCAGTTCAGTCTGGATGGTCTTATTTCTACATCTGAACAAGCTAATTATTTTGCGAACTCGTTGAAGTGTGATACCTGAATTATCGGGGAAGGATGTGACAGAATTTTGGAACTGAGCTAAAATGATCATTGTTACTGTATTTTCTCGCAGCAGTCTTTTAAGTGCAGATGAGCCTCCCATTCTCTGTTGTTCCCTAGTCCTTTACTGAACGTTGTTATTAAGCTGCCTGGCTCTCTCTTATTGAATTGGATGCACTCTGACATCAATATGTATTACGTATGAGTGCCTTATGTATGTAAAGTGTGTTTAAAAGGCAGAGTTCCTCCAAGATCCTGCCCAGAGGGAATGAATCCAACTGACTCAATACTTTTAAATCACATGTTTATAGGAGGGGAAATTCACCCTCTGGTTAGGTTATGGAAGAGAAACATTTTCACTTTAATCATTCCTACACAGTGAGTTTACACTGTGTAGGATAACGCAGTTTGCAGCGTGACGGTGGTTCTCTGCAGTGGAAAAGCCAACCTGACAAATAGCCCAGATTATACAGATGATGCAGCTGCTTTTTAGCTACAATTTAGTAACTTCTAGACATAAAAATACCCCGTTGAGAGCCAAACCTGAGTGAAAACACCCAGGACTCCCTGTGAAGCTGAGTCAGCTGCACTATCACACTGTTCCTGGTCGCTGAGAATGGCCAGGATTTGTCCTGCAAGTTTGCTGTATTTCTTTGCCCAGGCCTTCTGCTCACGTCTCCTGAATTACACACTTGCAACCACAGAGAGAGATATTGGCACCATATCTGTAGTGACCTGCCTTGAAAGGGCTGGACTGCTAGATTGCTACTGACTGCTAGAGAGCTTAATTATGGACCTTTCTTTCTAATGTAGTTATTGATTAATGTTTGATAGGCTGAGATTTCAAAAATTAACAAAGGAGAGAACACTGTGGAGAAAACAAAAGGATCAGTTTCTTGTATCACAGGAAAATCTTGGAAACTCAGGAAATAATTCCTAGTGAAGAATTCTAGGCTTCCTAACTTTTCTTTTTGTCCATTATTCCACCTGTGACCTGCACTATACATGTGAAACTGTCGATAGATGACTTTTTAGGAGGAACTGATCCAGCGAAACCAAGGAAAAGAGTTTTGGTTTTGAAGGTTTCATATAATCATGCAACTTTTACAGCCAGAGAACAACAGAGGGCAATAGATCTCTATGAAACATCACGTCTTGAGAAAGGTTTCCATTTGATGACACTGATGGCAATTTCGGCAGCTCTTTTCACTGCCTCGGAGGGGTCATTCAGACACTGCTGAAATGTGTCTGTGTGATCTAGGAGTGTCCTGCGGCCCTGGGGTACCTCAGCCAGCATGGTGAGGGTTTTGATTGCACTCAGACGGGCTTTGCTGGTTTCCTCAGCAACCAACTTCAGCAAAGGTGGAATGGCCTCAGCATCCAGGGCTGAGAATCTCCCTGTAGAGAAATAAACTGGCTTTAAAATGTGTTATTACATATAATCAACATGCTTTTGAATTGGTACTTCCTACTGCCTGCCCAGCTACAGCCCTGGACAGCTCTGAGGGCGCAGTGTGAAGAGGTAGGCCGCACTTTTCTTTGGAAGACCAAAGCTACCTGCCAGCTGTGTATTTTTAAGAAAAAAAGATCTTTCTTGGTTAACATTATTTGCCTTGCACATTATTATTTCATTTTCAACAACTTATCTAAGAATTTGTGAGGCACTGTGTGACTACATAAACTATTTTGGGGGTGGAGGCTAGATGCCTTTAACATTCTCCATTATTTTATTTTCAAAGACACTTCAAACACTGAGATCCACTCCTGTGCTGTCTTTGGAAGCCAGGGGGACAGTTGCAGAGGAGGACTGGAACACAACTGCTGTTATTAAGTCTTTTATGTCTAATTACTCATTTATCACACTGAAAATTCAGCAGTTAGTATTTTCAGTGTCATGTAAGTTACTTGGGGAGGACCAGAGACCTTATTAATATTCATTCCTCTCCCAGCTGGAAGAGAGAAACTGTCTCTAACCACAAAAAGAGTTTCCAGAAAGTAGCGCTGCTCTGCTGAGGACTGGGGATTCAAAGCAGCTTCAGGTGGATCTGAACTTGGGCAGAAAATGTTCCCCCTGTGGAGGAAAATGATGCAGGTGGGGTAGATAAATAACTCCTTGACCTACTTCAGGTGAATGAAATGTGAAACAGACTGTCTCACCTATACTCTATGGGGGAGCCACAATAGTTGCTTGAGACAGATCTAAAGAAACATCCCAATCCCATAGTTTCTTGAAGAGCTTTAACACTATCAGAAACTGAGGACCTGGGGGAGTGGGGCAAAAGTTTTTTACTAAGTTGCTTTAGAATCAGATTTCTGGAAATTATCCCAACAGAACCGCCTCTGTGTCTCACCCTGAGGTCTTATAGTAGCAAACATCAGTGCTCCTGCTGCACTAGCTTGGACTTCAGGGTCTGTGTCTTCCAACAGGTTCACCAGCACAGGAATAACTTCTTCACATACCGCGACTTTCCCCTCTGGATGGGTGCTGTGCAGAAGAGATGGTTAAGTTCCTTTCTTGGCTGGAGTTTGCTAACCATGCAGCTACCCACAGCCCCTCCCCGTGCCCGGACCCCTGCAGCCCTCCTTCCTTTCCTGACAACAGCGCTGACACAGCCCCGCTCTCTGTTCCCTTTGGAGTCACAATGTTCTGACTGTCAGACAGATGGCAGGCACCCCTGCCCGGCCACAGAGAAAAGAAAGGGCATGTCTGTCTGTGCCTGGTGTCTATTAAATCTACTTGCTGATACAATACTGATGATATCATATTAACCTATGTGTGTGGGCTTAACAACTCTTTAGGCTATTTTTAGGTGATATTTGGATTGGGTTTTTTTTTGCTTTCTATGATATACTGGAGACTGATGGGCAGCAGAATGTAGGATTAAGTATGCTGGTGGTCCTAATATCAACTTAGTTAAAAAACCTGATTGTTGAACCCTATACAGATTTTAAAACCTGTTAAATTAGGAGTCTGTAATTAATTCTTCTCCTAGGTGAATTTTCTTTCTTTCTTTCCAGCCTCTTCAATGTGGGGAATATTCAACATGGCCCAGCTACTGCTGGGACCTAGAACGTAGCTGATGTCCATGCTCTAGATGCATTTCTGCTTCCTTTCTATGACTCATTTTATCTATACTCTCTTTTCCTATAAGACCACACTTTGTTATACGACATGAGGAAGTGTTTTGTGCCAATTGGCATGTAAACTGCATGATCTGCAGACCTTTTGAAATTACACATCTGTTGAGCACTTTCATTACATTTTGTGATTGCAGGACTTAAGTTGTTCCCTTCATCCAGTATTTGACACACAAATTTAATATAAAGATTGCTTTTTCTGATCCATCATGATGTATGCAGCAGCTTGTGTCAGAAAACTATTTCTGTCCTCAATCACATTGAAAGTTTCCCAGGACTTTTTAATATTTTTTTTTTGAGAATGAGTCGTTGTCCAAAATGATAAGGGAGCTGCTCACTATCTTTATAGGGGTCAGAATCTTGTTTTCACATGATTTCTCATGCAAGAATTTTTTCTTGGCAGTGCTGTAGCAGGAAAAAAAATCATGATTTTACTGCTAATACTGAAGACAAATAGAAGGAGAAGGAATGACATTTCCTCATCAGCATCTGCTTTCTCGAGTGATTTATAGCAGTTATGATTTTTAGAGTCTTCTACTGACTTGTGCACTCAGGCTGATAGTGCTTTACATGTGAAATGTGACAATTTCAGTGTGTAGTAGAACACAACTGTAAACTAATGACATTGAGTCACTCATGAAATGAGTATTTTCTTGGGCTTAAGTACTATAGAAAGATTTTTTTCCTTTACCTGATTTCTAACAGGACACAAGCTGCTTTGCTTCTGATGACCACCGATGAGTGTGTGAGCTTTTCCTTCAGGATAGTGACGGCATCAGTTTCTAGAGCTTCAGAAGCCTCCACACGCAGGCAGTTGGAGAGTGTATCGAGGATTAGCTCCTGGATTTCCTCTGACTCAGTCTTCAGCTTGAGTACAAGGAAGGGAACCAAACCGGCACTCAGAACGCCAACAGCCCCTACGGCAGGAGGCAGAGAAGGAACATGGGTGAGGTGTGAGTGCATTTACTATTTCTACCTGCACTTTGATTTCCTTAATAGGATCAAAATACATATGGTAACTCGTTTATTGACACAGATGTGGGATTGAGAGATGGAAACTACAAGGCTGCTCTGTTCATAAATGCCATCTTAGCATTGCTTCGTCAGGAGACTTCCCCAACAGTTCTGTAAAGACACCAGCCCAGGTAATAACCAAAATGGGAATTGCTCTGATGTTCCCCTGCTATAATATTTCTCCCAAAATTCTTATTTGTAAGAAAATATATGGGATATATATAAATATATGTGAAAGTCACCTTGTATCCAGCCTTTCTAAATGTTCTCAATATGAACAGATGCTGAGAGGCTGAAATGTGAACCTTTAGAGCTAATAATTTGATTCCTCACTATGGTTTCTGTGGGGGAAGTCAAGATTTGGGAAACTGACAGCTTCCTCACACGTTCCTTTGTAGTAATTCTATCATGGGGAAAATTAAAATTTTGAGCTTTCCAGCAGTCAGCAGTCTTGTGCTCTCTCCTAAAGGAAATAGCATCAAAGGCAGAAAGACCGTCATTTGCCCTGCAAGTGATGTCTTTGCTGTGAGCAAGCGGCCGATTTGTACCAGTTCTTACACTTTATGAAGTCAACACTCAAACAGCAATGCCAGGGGAAAGCAGAACGTACTGTCCACAAGTAACTATGTGAAAACAAAATTCTCCAGCTGTCTTGTTGCTAAGACCGATTCTTTGGTTGCTAAGGGAAATGTGGCTCCTTTCAAAGTGATTCATATGTGGTTAGATAAGGAAGTTTTGTGGATAAGAGTCATCAAGGTATTTTCAAATGAATCTCCACAGGCAGGGATAAAAGGACAGGTGGGAAAGAGATTTTAATGGCACTTGATTGTACATGGCAAAAATCCCTCAACTTTACAATCGGGTGAAAAACATGATTCTCTTTGAAGCTGTGGCTGTGTGTATCACTAGATGGGGGAGCTGGCATTTTCATAGTAAAAAAAAAAACCCAACCAAAACCAACCCTGTATGTATGTCCTCTGAGGGGAAGAAAAGAAGTAAATTCTCAAGGATCATCTCCAGTCCATTCATACTGTCTTCAGAGAAGGATGTGATAAAGGAATTCTGGCAAAAGCCTCTCTCGGAGAGGTCCCCAGGAAGGAGGCAAAGCTTTCTCAGCTGACTCCATCACCCAGCATTACCCCCCTCATGAGAATTACAGGTGTTTGGATTGGAGGCTGTAGGCAGGTGAGGTTATGGGTGGGTTAGACAACAGCAAGGATATGGCTGGGAATACTCCATGCTTACAGAGTCCCAGGCAGTGGGGAACCCACTAGTGAACTGCTCCCATGAAATTAGCTTAGAGCAGTCTCAGATGGCTATAAATCATCCCCAGAACTGGCTTAGCCACGCTTTCCAATGGTCTTTTGAAATAGTCTATGAAATACAAGATTTTTCAAAGCCAACTTTTAAGACTTCTCCCAAAGTTTTTCATTAAAAGAAACTATATGGTCTGTGTGCATGAAATTGGGATACCCAGGCTGCTCACACAGTCACCATGTACACTTCTATTGTGGGATGCTGTGGAAATCAGTATAAAATCAAAACTTGGGAGATACAGTTTCAAAGGAAGATTAATTAATTGGAGGTGATACTTAGAAGCTACATTCCTCTAGCAAGCATCTCTTTATTGTACAGTTGCTTTAACAGATGATCTGTGATACTTTTGAATCAAAGCCACACCTGGACTACTTGACCTTATCTTTCTAGATAAGATAACACACTGAATGTAAATGTAACTAAGAGTAGCAAACTCTGTGAAGTTTAAACTCCACACTCCTCCAGACCTTTTGTGTAGCTTTAATTCACATTGATACAAATCTTCCTTGGGATAGTGTCACACCATAAGCATTTCATCATATCATTTTGTAAGTAAACACTTGCTCTTGCACAGAGAGCTCAGCGTTCTGGCTTGAGCCAAGAGAAACCACTGCTTGCTTCAATTTAACTTTCCATCCTTCTGTAGCAGCCATGGCTATAACATTCTGTCACCTTCCTTGTGGTGGTAGATACACTTTTTTCTTTCCCAGACAGGTTTCCATTACTATTTTTTGCACTTGCTTTCAAATACGTAACAGCTATTTTTTAACCCATCACCTTCATTCCCTCTTTTTCATGATCTCTTTGCTGTATTTCAATTTCTTGATCACTGTATCATTGTATTGCCAGTAGCACTGTCAGCATTCAGGTTTCACTTCCTTGTGTCTGTGTCTTTCATTTATCTTCTAATATATTCAACCAATACATTCAACTAGACAAGACTGCCTTCATTGGCCCTTCGATTTATTTCTCCCAGTTAATGTTTATTGACTTTCTTTCACTCAGTCGTCCCTCATTCATTGCATTTGCACTTCTTGTCTTCTTTTGGCGCTACCCTTTACTATTGCGCTGCAGCCCTGACTGCAAAATACACAACAAAGCCACTTTATGTCTTTCTGTTTCAATAAGCTGGCAGGATAATGTACAGTGTGGTGTTTAGGATAGCTTTTATTTTGTGGAGCCATTATTATTCTGTGGTCAAATCCCCGTGAAGCTACTGGGGGCTGATTTTGAATGAATGCTTGGGCTGTTTTAAAATATGTTTTATTTCACCAGGCCAGGTCTCTGTACCAAGGGCTTTCTTATCTACTATTTTGTCAAGCTGTTCTATCTGAAATGCTGTCACACTACTGAAGTGAGCTTCCTAGATATAAATATAGAAACAAAGATGAATTGTTTGACCTTGTCAAAAGTCTCAATGTGGTGAAGAGAAAGAGGGTGGAGAGGAAAGACCATCAACAACAATAAAAAGAGACTACCTAACATCGAGACTGAAATTTCCAGGTGGAAATTCGTCATGGCTCTCCCCAGGGAGCCAAAGGGTGAGAGGTCTAAGGAGGTAAAAGGGAAAAGGGAGGAGACAAAGTCAGTAGAAAGCTGTTTGAGAGTTTCTTGTAAATCAGAGCAGTCTCAGATCCTTGCATCTCACTGAGCAAGCAATAGGAGGGGAAGGTAAGCTGGTGTTTCTGGTAGTCCTATACTGAAAAATGTGGTGGCATCCTCAGGATCTTGACTTTTCATTAAAATAGTGCCCTTTCAAAGGGGACCCTGCTCACAGTGAAGTAGTAGGGAAAAATGTTTTCAAAATGCAAATAGTTGCATTTGCAGCTGCATAGTTAACGTCATTATTGATCTGTTTTTCTGAGAACTTGTAATCTTCCCTTGGGCTGCTTTTTATCTGAGCACTCATCTCTTCCTTCTCATAACCCTCTGGCCACTCTCATCCTGCCTTTCCTGACTCTTTTTTCAAATAGGCCCAAAGAGGAGTTGCCATTTATTCTGTTCTCTCAGTATGGCTGCAGGGCATGTAAACAAATTAAATTTTGTAGAAGACAAAGGGAGTCATTTATAGTACGTAACAGTGGTGTTTTGTTTTGGTTTTCAATTACATAAATCAATTAAATCACATTACAAATCCTTTTCCTTACAAATGTCAGTTTTCAAATCAAAGCCATTCAAATGTTTGTTGTAGTACAAAGCGTGTGCCTCATGCATGGCCACAAAGCGATGTACAGCGTAGTGTAGCACAGTAAAATAATACAGAAACACAGATTCTATGTAATACGAATGTTTTGTTAACACCTCAGATGTCTCTCTGTGCTGTTCGCACAACTATTGAAATGCTTAGTGACAGAATTTCTACTTAGGAAGGGGCACACAGGGAAAAGCAAAGCAGATCCAGACGGGATCAGGAGGAGAAGTGCTGCCTGGCATCAGGGTGGGCCACCAGCACACCCAGTCACAGCGGCTGCGAAACCCCAGGGTGGGAGCTCACTCACTGTGAGGAGCCAGATGATCCTGACAATACAGACCTAGCAGCTCTCTTGCTACCACTGCAAGAGTTTCACACCATTTTAGACGTAGCAAAGTGTTTATTAAACCAGTGAGCCCTGGCATGTATTATATATCTTTAAAAATGCAGTGCTTGTATAATGTTTCCTTTCTGAATGAAGGATGACCGCAGAGGATCCTTCCCCTGCACACCTTCCTTAATAACTCCTTGCTAGCTACTGTTTAAATTGGAAAAAAAATATAATTATTCTTTAGGCTCCCTGAGAAGATTTCTGAGTCACCAGTCACAAGAGCGTACTTTGAGAACCCTGTAGTAGCTAATTTAACGCTAAGGTTCAGCATTTTGAGTCTCGGTGCTTCCAGCATTAAGGCTGTGTCAGGGAGTAGATTAAATACACGACTGCTATAAAACTGGGCTGAAATTTCTTTCTGGTAAGTTTGGAGCAGGAGGTAGAGCTCATTAAATGAAACAGAACTTACCTGCCTATACCCCAACAGCTTTATCAAATCTGCTAACTGAAGAGGAAAATTCTGTTGACATCTTTGAAAGTCAGAATATTTTCCTCTTCTTTGCAACAATAATTCTCTGTCTTTCAATGATAATTTAACAGGAATAAACAGTAGTGTCCCAAAGGATGTCTATGCCTAGAGACAAAGAGTATCTCTCATCTTAAAGGGCAGAGAGGTGGAAAGTGCTTGTTTAAATGAACTGAAGAGCTATTGGGGAATTAAGAGAACTGAGAAAAACACTGCAGATATTGGTATCGGACTAGAAATGGTAAACAACTCTATTTCAAATCTGTGCATTGGCTAAATGCATTTATCTTCTGACAGCCCTAGGGATTTACCAAGTATGAAATGATAATCTCGATAGTATTGTCTGTCATATCCTCACTAAAAGTACAGTATCTGTAAACTTCATTAAAGCATTATGGGATCTGCTTGTGAAGCCATTGAGAATTTCTTCAATACTAAGGATTTGGGGATGTTATCTGAATGAAAGATAAAATAGAAATTAAGGTTTTAAAAAAAGTCAGCACTACACAGGAGAAGCACATAATGTGGCTGACTCTGG